CGTTTTACTCCACGTGCTGGAAGCTTCTTCCGAAACTAAAGAAGCTCCCAGCAAACCGTATCCAAAGACACTTGGTACAACCCGAAAACAGATTGGAGAGTTCCACGGCATCATGGAATCCTACGAATGAATTCAGAATGAGCACAAGGGGGAAAAAAGACAATTGTTGACTGTAACATATTTTATGTGTAGATATAAACTGCTAAAACAGTTAATAATAGCAATACTTTGTAGCTCATCGGGGTTGCCACTGCAATAAAGACAAGCGCGCCATGTAGACAAAAGCTTTGCGGAGCTCAGTGCAGACGGCGTAGGTCACAGTACAAAAGTGCTATCAAGCGACACAACGGAACATCACGTGCCACGAACAAACACACTTCCAAGTCGATATGTATACATCAGTCATTATTTCAGACATGTTTACAAAGATACGGTAATTACCAAACACGTTCACGAAGAGTGGATAAGTAGAGCATAATAAAAAATAAAAGATTTTGAATGAATCAATACAAATGACTTACAATGCCTGTACAATACAAATTTCACTTTCATTGAGACACATTTACAGCTTCATCACAAAACGCGTGGTTTATCGTGGAATGTACCGCATTTCAGCTGTCCAGTTTGTTTTGCACTAAAAAAAACCCCCACAATTTAAAAGGTAACAACAACAACAACCTGCAAGCGAGTGGCACATCACGACAGTCTCTCCCGTTCGAGGCGCCCCCCCTTTTCTCACAGAGTGACCGCTTGTTGTGCGCAACGCGAGAAACACACAAACCGTACTTTACACGCCCGCAATTTGTATGACCGAGGTTTGATATCGCGATGGTTTTCCGCGATCTTTGAGAAAAGGATTTGATTCATTCTTATCGTTATTTTTATAGCGCCTTCACCAAGGCGCTTTGCAGATGATTAACAATGGTGCAGATGAATGTGTGATGCGTGAATTGAGTGAAATAACAATTGATGAGAGCACATTATGATGAATGGATTGGATGGATGGGGAATGAGTGGTAACCATGAAGACGGATCATGAAGAAGGAACAGGAAGATGTTGTCGACCCTTGCCTGGAACCTTGTGGCATCATACACCGAGGCACTGGGTTTTGACAACAGCAAATGGCCACATGAGGGCAGTCTTGGACTGAAAGTGTTCCAGCAGACCCGTGGAGGCATGGCCGATGCGAGCCAACAGTACAGAACTGAAATGCTGCGATCGGATTTACCCGTGGCTTCTTTATATTTGTGAGTGCTCAGGAAACACAAGTGCTGGCCAACGATGGCGCAATCCCACTCTGCTTTAGTGCAATTGTGACCAGCACCAAACTCGCAGACCTTCGCTTGGGGTCGAGACAAGATGATGCTCCATCAGAGCCTGCACATGAGCTCTCTCTCTCTCTCGCTCTGAGCAGCAAATCATACCTCGTGCAGTCTGTAAAATCAGCAGCAATAGCATAAACTACAAATGAGGAGCAGGTGTGTGCTATAATTGGACCACCACTGAATCCAGCAGAGTTTCTTAAAGAACAAATTGTAAAAAAAACAAAATATTTGCTCTTTAATTAAAACCTTAAGACTGATATATGGATGCCAATTTACGTGCATTGACCCTTGACTTCTGCCACACGTTGATCAACAACAACAACTCGAAGGGAGGCTCGTGGAACCATCAGGTGGCCACTGCAGCTGTGGGTATTGCTCATCCTACAAGGGTTCTCAACGCACAGCGCACAAGCCTCCAAGTGAACCCACAGCGAGTTCACGTGAACATTTGGGGCGTGCGGCCCCGGCACACCTTACGGGCCCAGGGCTCATCGCGCTGCCCGCTACAACGCGTAACCGCAACCGACAAAAAATGGAGGCTCGCTCACCAGTTGATGTAGCGGTACTAGAGTATTACGAGAATTTCAAGTTGCCAACAGGGAAATGAAAAAATATTGTATGTTTTGCGGAACTTCTTTTGCACCGTACGTAGCCAGCTGTGCTAATCGGAGGTGTTATGGTTGGCGTGATCTTATCAATTTGGTATGCTTACTAGGAAGTAAAAGTATGAAAATGTTTAAATCATAGTAAAAAAAAAACATGGTGCAGTTATAATGCCAACTAATACACTAACACTAATACATTTGATTGTCATGAGCAATTATTTATACAGAGGCTTGAAAGCTGCCCATCCGCACACCGCGGTGTCAAACACAAAACTTGTGAACGTACGAAAAGCATTGCATTGCAATTTACATACAATGTATGTAAGGAAACAGTCCCGACATTTACAAGCTGGCATGCCGGTCAATGAAGGTAGTTTCTAACATGTCAAGCTCTCGCAGCCTATATTATGATTCGAAGTTTTTTTTCGTTAGGCCACCGAATGAGCTGACCAAATTTTTGTCATTGAGACCCTCCACCAGGCATACAAGCCTTTAATGTACCTATTTTGTTTCAGCTCGCTGGAAAATTAATGCAAAGTAAATTACCCAATTAATATAAAAAAAATCCAGGAAGCACTACATACTTTTTATCCTTCCTGGATCTTGTCCTGATATTTTATGCAATTTCCAATTAAACATTGTATATCTATATTCTTGGTTCTTTCGGTAAAGTCACTTAGAAGGGAAACAATAACATAATAAAAATATAAAACAATACAATTCTCACGACGTTTCGACTGCAACACAAGCACCTGATGGTGATTGCTTGTGTTGCAGTCGAAACGTGATAATTGTATTGTTTTATATATTTTTATTATTATTTTATTGTTTCCCTTATACGTGACTTTACCGAAAGAACCAAGAATATGAATCCCTGCAGTCACGAAAGCTTTAAATCAAAATTGTATATCTAATTGCTACATTTGGTTTGGAGAATTGTCTTAACTTCACCGGTGAGCTGCAACAACGACCGACACGTTAAACCCTTGTACACCACGTGACAATTATATTCATTTGCCGTTATCAGGTGGTGGAAGGGGTGTAACACAAGTTTGGCCGGATCATCACTTGGCCTCACCTAGGAACCAAAACGAATCATCAAGCAGCCTATATTCTGTTAGAGGGTGGACTACGAAGTGATAAGCGTGCATGAAGGCACGCAAACGCACACACTCACGAATTCAGTCATCGCATGCCGACAGAAATGTTATCTATTCGCCTTAAAAAAAAAAAAAATAAAGACTCTTTACAAAGCATTGTGTTACCATAACCTACAGAGTACTCTCCCCATTTGTGATCTTACCATAAACAAAGTGAAAGGTGCAGCCCTGCAAGTGCTCGCTCACACCGCTGCTGGCAGAAGGGCATCCACTAGGGGCAGATCTGGAGAGGCCTTCTCTAAGAGGGTATTTTTGCCCTGCTCTTCCACGCTGGCCCAGATGTCGTGGATGAGGTGGAGGTACCCATTTTTTACCCCATCACACACAACCTGCCGATCAACTAAGGAGTACCCATTTATACTGCTGGGTGGACAGAGGTAGGAGGATTTAAGAAACGTATAAAATGTTTCAATTGGCGCGCTGCGAGATCAATGCGGTGACCTCTGGATTGCATTCCAGTGTGGTAACCACACCAGTGCAGCACACTGATCTACTACTGAGGGTGCTAAGCTGGCACGCAATATAATTCATTGATATGTATATCCACTTATATTTCATTATTTTAAACTTAAAAAATACATTATATGTTACATGTGGATAATTACATACATATGACGGATCAACAACAAGAATACTCATCTGGGAATTAGTAATTGGTATGGTAAGATTTGCAGCGATTAGTTTAGAGACATTCAGTTTTTATGAAATAACAAAATATCCGTGGACAGATGCAAGGACGGACCTTCAGCTCCCTTAATAAAGAAATTCATGCATTAGTTACACCAAAGACAAAATATGCTCAATACAATTTCACAATATCCTTGTGAAACCGTGTAGGTCATTTGAATGAGATGTAATTCTGCAATAAAATGCCTAAAATTGTCAGCTTACACAGACACAAACACATAAATGATTTCTTAAATAAAGTTGAGTTTCTTGATAACAGTAAATATAAATTATAATCCTATAAAACAATCGAGTTAGAGAGAATGAGACAGGACTGCTATGACTTGCGTCTCCACACTTCTCAAATTAAACATTGCCCCTTATAGGTAGAGTGCTTTCATGTCAGACGATGCGGATCGCTGCATGGATTAGTGTATTTATGGTACCTTTGTGTGGCTTTTGGAGAAGTAGGCATGCCCAATTACTTGTAATAGAGTTCATATTATAAACATAAGCTCAACGTAAATTGCAATGCAAAATAATAATGTAGTATAAAATGGGACCTCTTTGTCAGTATCAAAGTATGAAAAAATAGGAATTGGGTTTACCCTTTATGGCAATAGAACAGGTTTTAAGATACTCTTTGGTTCTTTCGGTAAAGTCACGTAGGTATAAAATGATGACGGACGCTTGTGTTGCGCCCGAAACGTCGTGATTTATTTTATTTTATACCTACGTGACTTTACCGAAAGAACCAAAGAATATGGATTACTGCAGTCACGAAAACTTCAAATCAGGTTTTAAGATGTTCAAACACCAAATAGAAACCTTTAGCAAGGAATCAAGTTCGCATTAACCACACACAGTAGTTGTGGTGAACATGCAAACATAATAATGTATGCATTGTCTTTTAAACTGATTGGCCTACACCAGAAACAACCTTCTTTAGGGCCTTGTTTCACCAGTGTCAGACCAAAGAACGCCGAAAGGTGAACAGCACAAAGACAATGCCACTATCAGAGGCATTTATAGCTCGGGGTGAGAAGCTACAAAATGGGAACTTCTTGTCAGTATCAAAGTATAAAAAAGTAAGAATAGGTTTTACCCTTGTCTGTGATGTAGGCCAATCAGTTTCAAAGACAATGCATTTATTATCAAAGCATGTTTGTTTGCATGTTCACCACAAGCACGCGTGGTTAATGCAGACTTGATTGCTTACACAAGGTTTATATTTGGTGTTTAAACATCTTAACACCACCTGTTTTCATTGCCAGAAAGGGTAAAACCTATTCTTATTTTTTCATAAAAATGTAGTGTCGGGTTGCAACTACTGAAACACAGATCTACAATATACACCACAGATATACTAAACTATCGTCGCACTGAACAAGGCCATTACAATCACTGCATTAATTTCAATCCCATAAAAAAGTATGGCATAAAGTCAACACTGTAGTGATAATGAACAACATTTTTCACTCAAACACAACGTGTAACCACAATCATGTATTTTAATACAACTATGTTTTTGAATAGCTATTTCAATCACGAACCTAACTTAAAGATCTGCTCATGAAAAGTCCAGAGACTTTATATCTTGTCTGGCATCACGCATGTTCCTGGCTGATGTCCAATAGTGCAGATCAAGAGTGTCACAGAGCCAGTCACTGTTTTTCATTTCCTATCTACAAGACACCAACACAATCTTGACAATTTTACTAGACATGCCAGGGCCATGACATGCCCTGCTTAGACATGATTTCCTAGTCATAGCTCAAGGGTCAAAGTTTCAGGAACTTTCATAGCAATGGAAATGAAGAGTCCACAAAGCAACATTTCACTGTGCTCTCATTTTGATTGTCGTAGCTCAGTCAGCGCCAACTCACGTCCTGCACTTTAACAAAGGCTGCAAAATCCACAATAAAAAATATAATCACGATAATATTAATACAGCATTAATATAGTAAGTGTGATTGAAGTAAACAATGTGCGTGGCAGAGCGCCACATACAGTACGTAGCGAGTACCAGGACTTATATCTAAACCGGATCTCAAAATCTCTCATGCTCACGGGCATTGGGAATCCTGCTATCAAGACTGTTTGGGCATTTTTAATTCTAGTCAGGCCATCACAAATGCAGGCCAGCTCTATTGCTGGTTCAACTCCATGACTTATTTTTCAGACAATTGTCCTCTTGGCCAGTGTCACCCGACGTGCTTCCTCACCCAGAAGGTGTCATGCCAACATTGTCTCAGACCTGTTTGTGCATCGTGGTCATCCATCCATGCAATATGCAGGCTCAACTCTGTTTAGCTTCTGAGATCTTCTGAAATCGATCAGCGCTCTTGATATGACTTGCCATATTAAGTTGCGATAGAAGTTGTCATTATTATTATTAGAATGGGTGACTTGGGGCTTAATTAAAATAATTTATAGCCATTTCTGAACAACTTTTACATACTATATATGTGCAGCCTTTTTGTTTTAATATCATATCCAGCCCATGAATATAAAAACAATCAGTGAAGTTTTTAAATGTAATGTTCAGATGGTTAACAATGTCAAAATGTACACATTGATAATAATCAAAATAAAAAATAAACAGAAGCCAGCCGAGGCATTAATTCAATGGTATATTCATAATCAGATACAAATAAAAACGTTTGGTTTTCGTTAATTAAAAATTCCAGGTAAAAATAAATTATAAAATACGATGGCATGTGTATTTTCTGGCTGAAAATATTACTTTCTCTAGTGCCAAGTCCCATCACCAGGCCACCTCATTCTGATTCCGGTATCTCCAGAGCCCACGGAACACGGATCACGAATCCATCGACAGAACAACACAGCCCAGCACGAGCGCGTGAGTTGCACTTGGGGAATCTGCACCGCTGCCTGTTGCTTGCCCGTAGATATCGTCGCCACGTCACGCAGTCTCATGCCTTCTTATGACCGGCCACACCATGGCCACCGCAAACTTTGTGGAGTGGAGTGCAAAGGTCACTCGTTTGATTCACAATAACGTTCCACAGATTGTGCGATCCGGTTGTAAAAATAACATGCCCCCGTTGCAATTAATCATCAATGGACACGCACCATCCAGAGGTAACAACGATAATATTTATCCCCAATGGAATCCTGCACCCATGAAAACAGACGCTCTGAATCGCTTAACTAAAACATCAATGACTTGCTCGTGAACGTGACGGGGCCTCCCGCCTCTGACGACGCGCTGTTACTTTTGCCCAGCGTTATGAATTCCCTCTCCACGTGATCTCTGAATCCTCGCTGGGTATGCACCCTGAACTCCCTCTCGTGCTGCGGCCTGACTTCAGGCTCTATGACGGTCGCGACGGGCCCTCTGTTGGCGTGGCCACCGCCAAGGTACGGCCTATCCGCATGCGTCCGGAACTCCCGCGACTCGGGCTGGTGGAGGGCCTTGAAATCCGCGGCGACGTACGGATGGTACTCCTGCTCGCCCGGCTGCGCAGCCACGTCGCCGTCCCCATTGGATGTTGCCCTGAAATCCTGCGGTGGGGGCGACGTCCGTAAGCCAGTATTCTGCAGGCTGTGAGCGTCCAGCAGCTCAAGGAGCAGGTCGTATAGCGGGATCACATTCTTACGCTTCATGCTGTTGAGATGCTCGATGCCCTTGTTGCTGTAAACAAACACACATTGCAAAGTCAGTGTGTGCAAGTGTCAAACGCTGGCCCACCCTTGCAAGAGGCAATGTTTCCTGTGCCTCAGTGGGCCTCTATTGTCATCTTCTAGTTAAATAATGGATACTGGATATTCGTTTTGCCATGAAATCCACCGAAAAATAGAAAATTGTTGAAAAACACAAATTTATATAAAAATTGGCCAAACACATTGTCGACATCGTAATCAGTTATTTTTTTTAAAGCCTAAATCTGTAATAAATCTCAGAGCCCCCAAAACATAGGCTTTATCAAATTAAATTCCAAGTGATCACCTGCTCAAATGAGCATCAAGGCGGTGCTCATCTTTTGTTTACAGCCCTGAGCCAGTGGTGTAAATTCCACATTGCTATGGTGGTGGCTCCTTTGAAGCTCGCGCACTTAAAAAAAAACACACAGGAGTGGACACTTCGATAATTACTAGTAAAGCAGGTCAAGGTGACATCACCATTGTCGTGCATACTCTGCATATCACAGAGACACGGAAGAGGCAAGGAGGACATCCGCACGCACGTCTGACCTAATGTGCCGGATCTGTGAAAGCAGCAGGAGCAGCTGGGAGAGGCGACGCGAGTGTTGCGGCGGGGACGCCTCAATGTGGCCGATGGTGCTGCCCAGGGCGTCCATCACCTTCTCGAGGATCTGCTGGATGAGCTGCACATTCGTCTGCTCCCCGGCGGAATTGGAGAGGCAGAAAAACACCCCTGCAGGAGAGAGCAGTTGTCAGCACGAAACAGAAATTCATAGAAACCCGGGCTATATTTAGAGATTGATTTAGTGTGTCTGTCTTCAAGACCACTTCGATTTCATAGAATATCCGTTATGGAAATGAACGCAGACTTTTTAAAATGTATATGTAACAACGTGAGTTTGATCGCACACCATGGATAATATCTGTAAGGAATAATGTCTGTGTATATCAGTGTATATATATTTTTTTACACAGCTGCTACATGCCCTATGGTCCAAAACAGTGGCCTGTAAGAAACAGCACTATCAAAGTAGTAAAAGGTAAGAGTGAACGCTCGTTTTAACTTGAGCAAGGTTACAAGAGCTTTGGGAAAAAAAAATGAAAGGCTGTACATTTATTTTGTACATCTAATTGGACTTCCTTAACTGGCCATAGCTTACATCGGTGAAAAGTGCCATCTCAGCCTCTTCTTTGATTCGGCATTTAGCTGCTTTGGTTCCTGATGGCGTCGTAGCTGCTGCTGCTGCTTTCCGGTCGCTATTTTTTCGACCCAATCCTGGTTACTCGGTTGGGGACACGGACCTTGTTGATCTGGACGACATCCCAGCCGGTACCCTTCTTCTGTGGTCGTCACGTGCATTGGATTCCTTTTTTTTTCTTTACGCCCAAAGTCTCAGCACCGCCCTTTCGCCGAAAATCCTCCTCCTTTTTATCCAGGCTTGGGACTGGCTCAGCTATCCACTGCATTGTGGAGTTAAATGGCAGTTAAGTAAGTCCAGTTAGGCAATGATAAAACCTTGTCGGAAAGTGATTTCTGGTTGGTTATTGGTATTATGACGCACACGCACTGCCTGTTTGTCAATCCACTGCTGAATAAGGGCACCCTCACTCCAAGTGGGTCGCCGGCAGGGGCGGAGCAACAGGGGGGGCTGGGGGGGGGGCTTAGCCCCCCCTGAAATTTTGGGAAAGTCAGTAATCGGGATAACCGGATATCTGGCTGCTGCAAAATGCTGCAGGCTGCCACCTCGTACTGCCCTGCAGGCTGCCACCTTGTGTGCTGCCCTGTAGGCTGCCACCTTGTGTGCTGCCCTGCAGGCTGCTTGAGCGGCAGCCTTTCGAACTTATCGAACTTATTAGCCACATCAGCGGCTCCGACCTATTAATAAACTCCGCGTTCAAATCCAATGAAATTTGTTTTATACATTTGTGGCGCCCTTTGGAAAACATAAACACTGGATATCTCAGAATATTGAAGTCAGCTCCCCCAAAGTCAAAATCCTGGCTCCGCCCCTGGTCGCCGGTATCATTTGACCCAGCTTCATCACGCTGATCAGGGTGCGTTGGTGAAGGTGGTTAGCATGTACATGTAAGCATAGAAGTACAATACAACAGGGGATTTTGCTGCAATCCCTCCTGCTGCCCACGACGTAGCAAAGTTGCATTAATCAAGCCGTGCTTTTGACTCTTGGTGGTTTGCATTCGGATTTAGTTTGTACATGATGTTTGTAATGTGTTCACATTTCTGCTCCTGCCACTAGAGGCCGCTAATTTACCAGAATGTAAAAAAAAAGCTATTGCTTCTTGAGTGGCATCACAAACATGAAACATGATGATTCATAGAATTCAAAGGAATCATTACAGTGAACATGTTGTTCATAGGGGCTGTTTTTGCCATACTTCACAATGATGGCCATTGCGGGTTGGTGAACATTTGCAATGCATTTGGAATACAGAAGGCATCTGCGTTGCATGTTAACTCTTTATAGAACTGAAATAAAACAGTGCCAAGTTTTAAATTCCACTACATTATCATATGGGGGGAGTGGTAGTACAGTGGTTAGTGCACTGTGCTATGAACTCGGTGACCTAACTTCGATTTCCCACCATGGCTAACATCAGTGGTGAGTATTATCTGTACCTATTCTGCCTTTCACCAACCCGCACTGACCAGCTTGGTGAAGTATAGTCAAATAACTTCCACGAATGACATGGTATGGGGATGCCTCCATGATTAATAAAAGGCTAAAACATTAGTATGGTTAATCTTGGTTCTTTCGGTAAAGTCACGTAGAAGGGAAACGATAAAATAATAAAAATATTATTTTGGAATTATTTTATTGCTTCCCTTCTACGTGACTTTACCGAAAGAACCAAGAATATGAATCCCTGCAGTCACGAAAGATTTAAATGAAAATTAGTATGGTTATTCATTTTAATGTAGGAGCAATGAATGTGAACATTGGAAATAATTTAGTTAAGTGTTACACTTGTTCCCCGATTCAAGTCATCTACCTGTCCCTCAGTGTAAGCCCAAGCATGCATCCTTTCATGATACTTAGCATACTTTTAAGTTTTTCATTTTCTCTATGAGCCACATTTCATAGCTGGCAATATGTATGCATACACTTTAATATATCTTGACTTGACCTCACACATTTGCTTGACCACTATTAAAGAGATAGATAATAGGCTTAAGACAGGTCAATGAACTAAAGTGATACAACGTAATAAATGGAGGCATACTTAAACATATGTATACATAATTGTACAAAACATGCTGATAAGCATGTACATACGTATATGAAGACAAAACCGATACTCATACAGAAGAGATAGATACATAGATGCAAGTACCGTACATAAACATTCATGGTAATTAAACACGCGTTTTTTTTTAAATGTAACCAATCAAAATCAACAGAAATATGAAACAACCAAAAGACATTGACGAAAATATCTAAATGTTGAACTAAGGCTTCCCTTGTGTTAAACTTTTAACTGCCAGTGCAGAGAAAGTCAAGTGGCATATCAAGATTAGTGATGTTTAACACAAGCAACATTCCAGGCTGTGGCATAAATCAAAGGCGCAGAGTAGGCATGAGAACTCTTCTAACTGGCGTTCTTGTCATTATCGCTCTCTCTCTCTCTCAGCCGCTTCCCACAAAGCCTTGAACTGGCCTTGCAGCCCGGTGCCAATACAGTGCATGCACAGTTTACACGATAACTGCCGGTTGAAGGAAAGCAGCCATGGTGCCAGCCAAGTTCTTTCCCGAGCTTGTCGACACTCGGAGCCACCTCCACCACCGACCGCCTTTACCACTGAAGACCAAACCCGGACATGTCTAGACTGTGAGCCCCACTGGTCTAGTCTGTGAGCCCCACTGGTCTAGACTGTGAGCCCTACTGGTCTAGACTGTGAGCCCCACTGGTCTAGACTGTGAGCCCCACTGGTCTAGACTGTGAGCCCAACTGGTCAAGACTGTGAGCCCCATTGGTCTAGACTGTGAGCCCCACTGGTCTAGACTGTGAGCCCCATTGGTCTAGACTGTGAGCCCCACTGGTCTAGACTGTGAGCCCCACTGGTCTAGACTGTGAGCCCCACTGGTCTAGACTGTGAGCCCCACTGGTCTAGACTGTGAGCCCCACTGGTCTAGACTGTGAGCCCCACTGGTCTAGACTGTGAGCCCCACTGGTCTAGACTGTGAGCCCCACTGGTCTAGACTGTGAGCCCCACTGGTCTAGTCTGTGAGCCCCACTGGTCTAGACTGTGAGCCCCATTGGTCTAGACTGTGAGCCCCACTGGTCTAGACTGTGAGCCCCACTGGTCTAGACTGTGAGCCCCATTGGTCTAGACTGTGAGCCCCATTGGTCTAGACTGTGAGCCCCATTGGTCTAGTCTGTGAGCCCCATTGGTATAGTCTGTGAGCCCCACTGGTCTAGTCTGTGAGCCCCACTGGTCTAGACTGTGAACCCCACTGGTCTAGACTGTGAGCCCCATTGGTCTAGTCTGTGAGCCCCACTGGTCTAGTCTGTGAGCCCCATTGGTCTAGACTGTGAGCCCCATTGGTCTAGACTGTGAGGCCCATTGGTCTAGTCTGTGAGCCCCATACCCCATGAAACCACCGCCATGACAACCTTTATGGGGTGCCCTGAGGTGTGTAAACTGAGCATCTTTTAATTTTCTGGAAATGGCAAAGCTGTGGTTTGTTAATACAAGTTCGTTCACTTTTACAATTATATTTTAGGATGCGATGTACCGTCGTAATTCTATATACAGTGAGGGAAAAAAGTATTTGATCCCCTGCTGATTTTATATGTTTGCCCACTGACAAAGACATGATCAGTCTATAATTTTAATGGTAGGTTTATTTGATCAGTGAGAGACAGAATAACAACAACAAAAACCAGAAAACTCATGTCAAAAATGTTATAAATTGATTTGTATTTTAATGAGAGAAATAAGTACTTGACCCCTTTGCAAAACATGACTTAGTACTTGGTGGCAAAACCCTTGTTGGCAATCACAGAGGTCAGAGGTTTCTTGTAATTGGCCACCAGGTTTGCACACATCTCAGGAGGGATGTTGTCCCACTCCTCTTTGCAGATCTTCTCCAAGTCATTAAGGTTTCGAGGCTGACGTTTGGCAACTCGAACCTTCAGCTCCCTCCACAGATCTTCTATGGGATTAAGGTCTGGACACTGGCTAGGCCACTCCAGGACCTTAATGTGCTTCTTCTTGAGCCACTCTTTTATTGCCTTGGCCATGTGTTTTGGGTCATTGTCATACTGGAATACCCATCCACGACCCATTTTCAATGCCCTGGCTGAGGGAAAGTAGGTTCTCACCCAAGCTTTGACGGTACATGGCCCCGTCCATCGTCCCTTTGATGCGGTGAAGTTGTCCTGTCCCCTTAGCAGAAAAACACCCCCAAAGCATAATTTTTCCACCTCCATGTTTTACGGTGGGGATGGTGTTCTTGGGGTCATAGGCAGCATTCCTCCTCCTTCAAACACGGCGAGTTGAGTTGATGCCAAAGAGCTCAATTTTGGTCTCATCTGACCACAACACTTTTACCCAGTTGTCCTCTGAATCATTCAGATGTTCATTGGCAAACTTCAGACGGGCATATATATGTGCTTTCTTGAGCAGGGGGACCTTGCCACGTAGTGTGTTGCCAATTGTTTTCTTGGTGACTATGGTCCCAGCTGCCTTGAGATCATTGGCAAGATCCTCCCGTGTAGTTCTGGGCTGATTCCTCACCGTTCTCATGATCATTGCAACTCCACGAGGTGAGATCTTGCATGGAGCCCCAGGACGAGGGAGATTGACAGTTCTTTTGTGTTTCTTCCATTTGCGAATAATCGCACCAGCTGTTGTCACCTTATTCATATTCTTAGCTCTTTCGGTAAAGTCACGTTGAAGGGAAACAATAAAATATATAAAACAATACAAATTCTCACGACGTTTTGACCATAACACAAACGGTCATCATCAGGAGTGAAAAACCAACGGCAAGAAACATTTGAAAGGGGCGGTTAGCATTTATTTATTTATTTGTAGACGGTGTTTGTATTTATTAATTTATAAAAAACCGTTAGCACCACGGGCAGTGATTTGGCAGTTTATTTAGAAGGACGAGTCCATCTATGTTCTGAAAAGAGGAGGGGGGAGACGAAAAATTAATGTATGCTGTCTGAAAGCCACCGTAAGCGTGAACAATCAATTAAGACCTGAAATGGTTTATCAAATCCTTCCAATGATTGCTAAGCCAGAATCCATCTTCTCGGTTGAAATTGTCTCTGTGCTTGTATATGTGGATAGCCTCATGAACGAATCTCTCATGGTAGCCAGATGGCTTACAAAGAACCTCTGTCTTGGAGAAGTCAATGTCATGTGAGCCTACTGAATCATAACAATGATCTGCCACGGCCGAGGTGTTGGTCCTACCGCGTTTAAGGTCTGCTTTGTGTTCACGAATGCGGTCCGAGACATGGCGTTTGGTTTCTCCAATGTAACTACTACCACAGAGGCAACTTAGTTTGTAGACACCAGGGTACTGTATGTCCGGAATCACATCTTTTACAGACGGAACCAGATCACGGATTTTATGGAATGTGTTGAAACGGACCTGGATCTTGTGTTTATTCAAGATTTTGGAGATCTTTTTTGTGATCCCTGCAATGTAGGGTAAAGTTATGGTTTTGAAAGGCTCCTCAAGAGGGTCCTTCTTCATGGTTTGAGTGATAGCTTTTCGGATTGTATAGTCGGAGTAACCATTAGCCTTAAGAGCTTGGTGTACGTGCTTGAGTTCACTGCCTATGTGTTCCTGGTCGGATATGCATTGGGCTCTATGGTACAGAGTCTTGATGAGAGAATTCTTCTGTGATGGATGGTGGTGGGAATCCGGTTTCAGATAAGCATCCGTATGGGTAGCTTCCCTGTAGACAGAGTGGCTCATTGAACCATCAGGTCTCTTTTTTATTAGGACATCCAAAAAAGGTAGCTTGCCATCTTTTTCGACTTCCATGGTAAATCTAATGGCTGGGTGTATGGAATTGATGTGGTCGAAGAATTGGTCTAGAGCAGGCCGGCCATGTGGCCAGATGACAAAAGTGTCATCCACGTACCTCTTCCATAAGGTTGGGCGCAGAGTGGCAGTCTGGATGGCGTCAGTCTCAAATTTCTCCATGAAAATGTTAGCTATAACCAGAGATAGGGGGGAGCCCATTGGGGTGCCCTCAGTTTGTTTGTAGAAAGTTCCATTCCAAGTTAAGTATGTATTGGTTAAGCAGTGTCTCACCAGGGGGGGTACCTCAGTGTTTAGTCCTTGATGAACCAAGTCTTCAATGATTGCGATGGTGTCAGGTACAGGAACTTTGGTGAATAAGGAAACTACATCAAAACTGACAAGCAGGTCGTCTGGGGACAGGGAAATACCCTTGATTGTCGATACCAGGTGAGTAGAATTTTGTACCGCAGAGGTGGTTTTTCCAGTGAAAGGACGCAGGATTTCAGACAAAAAACGAGCCTGTTTGTAGGTGGGGGAGTTGATAGTAGAGACGATGAGACGAAGGGGTGTATCTACTTTATGTATTTTTGGTAAGCCGTATAATCTTGGTGGCCTGGCAGCAGAAGGTTTCAACGAAAACTGTTTAGATTGATCAATTAATGCGGTTGAATCAGAAATTATTTTGTTGGTTTGTGTGACGAGGCTGTTGGTGGGATCTCTTTTTATTTTTGTATAGCTACCATCGTCGAGTAATTCTTTAATTTTGTTGTTATATTCTATTTTATCCATGATGACAGTAGCATTGCCCTTGTCAGGTGAGAGGACTACAATGTCATCTCTCTTTTTAAATCTATATAATTCAAAACGCTCATCTTTGCTGAAGTTGATAGCTGGCATAGCATTTTTGAGGGTTGCAGCGATTTCAGATCTTGCTACGTCTGCAGCGATGTGACCCAGGCCCCTGAGAGCAACGTCTACTTGGGCAATTATATCATTAACTGGTATGTGTTTAGGTGTGACTGCAAAGTTTAGACCTTTAGCTAAAACGGATTTCAAACCATCGGAAATAGAACTGTTCCTGCGATTAATTACGACTTTGTTAACATCTAACTTTTTGGTGTGTGGGTCCGGTCTTTTGTTGAAGAGGAGGTTAAATTTGGAAATCAGGTTGTCCTTACATTTGGTCGACATAGTAGCAGCTGAAGAGGCAGTCATATTGTCTACATGTTCCCAATCCGATGTGGACATTGTTGCCGTCAATGATAAGTGTGATTTGTAGAGTGTCTTGTCTAATTGATTTAGTTCGGTGCGTATAAGTCTGATTTTCTCTGAGATAAGAGCTAAGCTAGTTTTGAAAAGAATTCGTTTCGCATTAGAAGAAGTTACAGCAGCAGAAGTCAGTGTAAATGCGATTGGTATTACCCCAGAGTCGCGGCATCTCTTCAGAAAGGTGAGAGACTCGATCAGCTGAGCCTTCTTATGCCGGAGTTTGTTGAAGGATCTTAAAGTTATATGGAAACCCTCCCCGTAGAGGCGGTTAAATTTTGATTTAAAGCTTTCGTGACTGCAGTAATTCATATTCTTAGCTCTTTCGGTAAAGTCACGTTGAAGGGAAACAATAATGTATATATAAAACAATAAAAATTCTCACGACGTTTCTCACCAAGCTGCTTGGCAATGGTCTTGTAGCCCATTCCAGCCTTGTATAGGTCTACAATCTTGTCCCTGACATCCTTGGAGAGCTCTTTGGTCTTAGCCATGGTGGAAAGTTTGGAATTTGATTGATTGATTGCTTCTGTGGACAGGTGTCTTTTATACAGGTAACAAGCTGAGATTAGGAGCACTTCCTTTAAGAGTGTGCTCCTAATCTCAGCTCGTTACCTGTATAAAAGACACCTGGGAACCAGAAATCTTTCTTATTGAGAGGGGGTCAAATACTTATTTCCCTCATTAAAATGCAAATCAATTTATAACATTTTTGACGTGTTTTTCTGGATTTTTGTTGTTGTTATTCTGTCTCTCAATGTTCAAATAAATCAACCATTAAAATTATAGATTGATTATTTCTTTGTCAGTGGGCAAACGTACAAAACCAGCAGGGGATCAAATACTTTTGTCCCCTCACTGTAAAGGTACAATAAAATATGACTCTATAACTGATTAATCTCTTCAGTTCTCTGCCCAAGGGCAGGTTCTTGGCTAAAGTCTCCTTCATTGATATTTATGTTTTCCCCTTAATTTCTACAATAAATATCTCCTTTCTTTAAGTCGCCAAGCAGCGTTTATCCTTTCACCCCCAACATCCACCATTTTAGAGCCTCCTCGAGCAGGACTTCCTCTCTCACACCATCTCCAGTGTGTGCAGTTCACCCCGCACATCTACATCCTCTGGCATCCAACCCTGTGACATGACATTGTTTAATCGGGGCACATACACAAACTCTGTGGGGCAGAGTTTGTGTAGGTGTCTTGGCGTCATGTTAGGAGACCACGTGACACTCAAAACTTGACAATGCAGCCGTCTTCCAAATTCCTAACCATCTGCCACTACTAGAGCTACGTTGCTTTTACAATAGTAATAGTTATAAATAATATTGACTACATTTTGTATTCAAGCCAATCTTATCAAGGAACTATGCGAACATTCCAATTCAGTAATGTGAATATCATTCTTAAGATTTGTACCCTGACGCCTGCAAACAATGACCTACTCATTTAGAATGAATTAACGTGATTTTAAACATCCACTGTGAAGCAGACAGCGCGTATTTTAGGCTTAATACACTATCGCAGTATTACCCAGGGCAGCTTGCCGGACTTAAACAACTAACCCCTGCAACAAGCGGCGAACACGTTTCCGCCGGTCCATGTTGTAGCCTCGCCTAAAGCCAGCACTTCCAGGGCCCTCAGCCAAACACGAGAGTGCACGCACCCCCTTCCTTGCACGTGGGTCCTCATGCAGTTTCACCGCCTGCACACTCGACAGCTCGACTCACCCGAGTTGAGGAGGATCATGGCCTTGAGGCAGACGTATTCCTCCCGGCGGAGATGCAGCTCACGGAAGCGACTCACGGTGACGAGCAGCATGTCGAACATGTCCAGCATGCCCTCCACATTGCGCGCGTCCTCCCTGCCGGACACGCATGCACACGGGCATGCTTACTACAACCGCCTCATCCTCGCAAACAATCTTTCAGAAGAATCAGAATATTTATTTAGACTTCAGGAGGAATCCAATGAGTAATGAAGCTCATTGGATTCCTCCTGAAGATGTCCCATAGGGGCGGTCAGCAATTGAACTATCGATATATGGGTAAGAATAAAAGTTACAAGTAACATTTGCGAATGTGGTTGTAGCCAGATACCACCGAGAGCAACACAGCAGCTCCTCCAAACAATGTGCCGGACATTTCGGGTCCCGCACATTTGCTCAGGTTATTTTTGTATCAGAGCCATTGCATGCAGGGGTCACAGTCCAAATTTTCCAAAAATGTTTAATTGCTCTACAAATGAAAATTAAGAATAGGTTCTACCCTTTTTGGCAATAAAACAGGTGTTAAGATATTCTTGGTTCTTTCGGTATTGTTTCCCTTCTACGTGACTTTACCGACAGAACCAAGAATATGAATCCCTGCAGTCACGAAAGCTTTAAATCAAAATTTCGGTGTTAAGATGTTCAAACACCAAATTACTGAATTGGGAAAATCATAGAAATAGTCTTGAGACTCAGTGAGCTGGTCCGAGGATAACAAGCAAAATTATAGTTATATATTATAAATATAGAAATAATGAAATTCACACTCACAAAGCTCAAAAGCGTAACAACAACTACTGTAGACGGCATTGCTTGACCACACCTCCACACCACGTATTCTCGACCTCGATATTATATACTATTTGTGTTTTGCTATAATACAGATGTAATGTCATGATGACACCTGCTGGCTGGGAAAGGGAAGCACAGGTACGGGCACCGCTAAGACAACATCCAATCTGAAAGGGAGAGGTATCTGGGGCAAAGGTCATGGGCGGGGTTGGCCGAGATTCTCCGGGAACCTGCTCAAAGGTTCCACGATAGGGCGTGGCCGGAGGCGGAGCCTAGCCGCGCCTGGGGAGATATAAGCGCGGGCGGACCGGGGCTCGGGGTTCGTGTGTGGATTCTTGGGTCCGGACTGCGTCGCTGCTCGCCGTCATCTCTCTCCGTCGTCTGGCCACATGGAAGATGTCCTTACGGGGTTTCCATCGCCATCCTCGTCACGCCGTCAACCAGCGGCATAGCCGAGTGAGGGCGGTGGGACCACGCCGAGTGATCGGCTGTGTGTAGCTAGTAGAGACTTTAATATCTAAGTGTTGTACTCAGAGTGTGTTATGCCCGTGAAAAATAAAGAAGAAGTACCCTCTACACGACGTGTCGAGGAAGTCGCTCATTACACAGGTATCCTTCGATTTAAGAACGTTCGGTTTACAACATTTAGCGTTAACGCAATTGGACAAATTACGGACACTTTTCAATTCACGAAATCGAATTTCCTCGTGAACAAAATTTCACGCACCACGAGGTCATCAAACAAGAAGCACCCCGGAGGCTCCGGCATCCATCCACTACAGTGTCACGGTATTCCTACAGAGCAACAGCAACGCCTCCACATTCTGACAAATAAATAACCTGAAAAGGTTATTTATTTTAGCTTTAATTAAATATTCAATTGTTTTCATGTATATGTTCTTTATTATTATATTTGTATTGCTAAAAGTGATAAAGGTGTATATGTTGAGGTTAGGAGTAGAGTTGGAATGACCGTCCAAAACACAGCCCTACTCTTTGTACTAAGTTAATGGAAAAAGTATATTTATGAAATGTTTTTTGCGCATATTTTGTGAATAACGCATCCCTTTTGTAAATCAAGGGATACCTGTACAAGTATGTGGGCACTCAAAATAATATTACAAACCAGTATATTGCTTTGTGATGAAGTACAAAAGGCAACAAGAGAGAAAAAGGCCAAATAAAAAAAATGGCAGAACAGGAGAGAGAAGGACCATCTAGATGAATACCTGGCAACGAGAAGAGAGGCAAAACGAGTGGTAGCAATGGCAAAAAAAACAGCATTTGCACAACTCTACCAGAAGCTTGACAGCAAACAAGGTGAGAAGATGGTATACCATTTGGCGAGAGCCAGATAGAGAAATACCAGGGACATTGACCATGTGAATCTCGTTAATAACAGTGAAGGACGAACAATCTTGGATGAGATAAAGGTTCGAGAGCGATATAAATAGTACTTTGAGAAGTTGCTGTATGTGGAAAACCCGAGACTGAAATAGTTCAGGAATATCCAATAATTGAAGTAGTTGCAGATATAGAGACGAGGTAGTAGAGGCTCTGGGGAGCATGACACATCAAAAGGCAGTGGGGCCAGATGAGATTCCAATTGATGTGTTCAAATTAATGGAAGAAAAGGGTATTGAAATATTGATGGGGCTGTTTGGGAAAATTTGGATGGAGAAGAAAATGCCAGATGCGTAGAGACAGAGTACATTGGTTCCCATCTTTAAAGGGAAAGGTGATGTATGTCCAAGAGTGTGGGAGCTTCAGAGGAATAGCATTGATGAGTCACACCATGGAACTCTGGGAAAGGATCATAGAAAGGAGACTGAGGAAGCTAGTTGACATTGGTGAGTCAGTTTGGATTAAGACAGGGAAGGTTAATAATGGATGAAATCTTTGCAATGACAGTATTAAATTTTGATTTAAAGCTTTCGTGACTGCAGTAATTCATATTCTTAGTTTTTTCGGTAAAGTCACGTTGAAGAGAAACAACAAAATAACAAAATATATATAAAACAATAAAAAATTCTCACGACGTTTCGACCATAACTCAAACGGTCATCATCAGGTGTGTCGGTTTGCATAAATTTATTTTGAAAACGGCATATTTATTTATATATATAAAAATAACGTTTGCGTCACGCGCAACGATGGCAGTTTGCCAGGACTAGTCCATCTATTTTTTGAAAAGAGGAGGGGGGAGACGAAATTTGTTTTTATGTATGCTGTCTGAAAGGCACTGTAAGCGTGAACAATCAATCAAGAACTGAAATGATTTATCAAATCTTTCCAATGATTGCTAAGATAGAATCCATCTTCTCGGTTGAAATTGTCTCTGTGTTTGTATATGTGGATAGCCTCATGAACGAATCTCTCATGGAAGCCAGATGGCTTACAAAGAACCTCCGTCTTGGAAAAGTCAATGGCATGTGAGCCTACTGAATTAGAACAATGATCTGCTACGGCCGAGGTGTTGGTCCTACCGTGTTTAAGGTCTGCTTTATGTTCACGAATGCGGTCCGAGATATGGCGTTTGGTTTCTCCAATGTAACTACTACCACAGAGGCAACTTAGTTTGTAGACACCAGGGTATTGATGTGATTCCGGACATACAATACCCTGGTGTCTACAAACTAAGTTGCCTCTGTGGTAGTAGTTACATTGGAGAAACCAAACGCCATATCTCGGACCGCATTCGTGAACATAAAGCAGACCTTAAACACGGTAGGACCAACACCTCGGCCGTAGCAGATCATTGTTCTAATTCAGTAGGCTCACATGCCATTGACTTTTCCAAGACGGAGGTTCTTTGTAAGCCATCTGGCTTCCATGAGAGATTCGTTCATGAGGCTATCCACATATACAAACACAGAGACAATTTCAACCGAGAAGATGGATTCTATCTTAGCAATCATTGGAAAGATTTGATAAATCATTTCAGTTCTTGATTGATTGTTCACGCTTACAGTGCCTTTCAGACAGCATACATAAAAACAAATTTCGTCTCCCCCCTCCTCTTTTCAAAAAATAGATGGACTAGTCCTGGCAAACTGCCATCGTTGCGCGTGACGCAAACGTTATTTTTATATATATAAATAAATATGCCGTTTTCAAAATAAATTTATGCAAACCGACACACCTGATGATGACCGTTTGAGTTATGGTCGAAACGTCGTGAGAATTTTTTATTGTTTTATATATATTTTGTTATTTTGTTGTTTCTCTTCAACGTGACTTTACCGAAAAAACTAAGAAAAATGACAGTATTGTTTAGAGAGAAGAAACGGGACCTGCATATGGTGTTTATCCATCTAGAGAAAGCGTATGACAGGGTACCTAGAGAGCTCACCTGGTGGTGTATGAGAAAAAGGTATTCCTGATGCATATGTCCGGCCGATCCAGGATATGTATGAAGGAGGTAAATATGCATGTGCGAAGCAGCTGTGGAGTGTCGGAGAACTTTCAAGCCAAGGAAGGACAAGGGGTGAGAAATGAATAAGCGAGAGGAAGGACTCAAGGTGGTAGAAATCACAGAGAAGGTGAGAGACAAGAGGCTGGTGTGGTTTGGTCACGTGGAGAGATAACAGCAAAATTATGTTGGTCAGAAGGTGCAAGTGATGCAAGTGGAAGGAAAGAGATCAAGAGGAAGGCAGACGAAGAGATGGGGCAATGTGGTACAATCGGACCGAGGAGCGGGAAAAGATGGCGCAGGACAGGGCCGCGTGGAGAAGGTTGGCAAGGACAGCAGACTCAACATGAGTAGGACAAACGCGTGGAAGAAGAAGAAGAAGTACGTACATTGCCACTGGATTGTGATTATAAAGCAGATATAATGGGGCATCCCACCCCTATATCATTCAAATGTTATTTGAGGTCACTTTTCTAAGGAACCTCTATTCATTTTATAAAACCTCACTGAGTCTCAAGTCTTCTTCATGAGGATCCTGCATTCGGATATTTGGCCAATGTCATCAATGAGGGTTTGGCTTCATAGGCCAGGAGAAAAGCTATCTACACAATACAATCCATAATCTATTTCTGTACTGCCATCTCCTTGGCCACTCACAGCCCAATCCTACGACACATTCTGAGTGATATGGTTGGATGCTCACATAGTACAATAATGGGGCACCTGTGTGGATGAAAACACAAAAACAAAAGTCCTTCTCTACAAATAAAAGGTAAAATAACATTTTAGTCCATCGGCCTTTGGCTTTTACAGACATATTTTTTTAAACAATATTTGTTTCATCAGCAAACACTGGACCAGTTTTAACTTACAGAGTTCCATCAGCAGTCAA